TCTCTCTCTCTCTCTCTCTGTCTCTCTCTCACTGTGATGTGTGTGTCTCCTCTGTTTTCTACATATACATGGAAATATATATATATATATATATATATATATATATATATTCCTGTATTTTCTATCTAGGAATATATATTTTTGGTATTTTGGTTCTAGACAAATTAGAGAAAAAAACATCAACTAGGATTTTGTTATGTCAAGATGAATCTCTATATAGCTGGAAGGATATAAATACTTTATAATGAAGCATGGAAGATAAAAAGGTAAATAGCCTTTCTTGCATCTTAAAATCTCAAAAGATAAGTGAAGCTTCCATAAATCCTTGTAAATGGTATGCTTCACACATACATACAAGCAAAGAATATAGGAAGGTGTTGTTAGAAAATACTTTAGCCTTTGTGTATTTGATGGGTTCCTTAAATGGAGTGACATTTAAAATTTTTATCCTTGGATAATTCTTTTGTCAACTGCTTAATATAAAGTAACAATTATTCATGACATGATGAGGACGAAATGGATTTACTAGACAAATAATAATCAACACTTCTACATCTTCATTATAATCTACAATTTTCATGTTCGTCTTTCAGATGAAATATTTATCTAGGATTATAAGAGAGAGACATAAAGAACTTCATAGAATGGCATGTAATTTAGTGCAATATCAGAGTAAAGAAGCAACATTATTCCTCTCAAGATCACTTCTTGACCATCTACAAAGATACAGTAGTGCAGGGCATTTAGCTTTCTTATTATCATAGGCAGAAAGTATAGACAGGAAAATACCCATTTTCATGAATCTTGTATCTGTTGTTTCTTACCATGAGTGATTTTTAGGTATAATTTAAATATTCATGTATTATAGTCATAATAATGAAAATATATAAATAATCACTACTGTACTGTTTATCAACACCTGAGTGGACCAATTTTTCATTAGACATGGTTGAGTTATTTTTTATTGTTTCAAACATCTGCCTATCAACTCTGAGTGCTTGTATGAGCACTAATCATTCCTATTTTCATATCCCAAGTCAATTTGACATAAACTACTATTAGAAGATGAAAATAAAACAAAACAAATTAAACAACAAACACAATAAAGAAAAAGGTATATAGCAAATGCATATACTTTTTACTACTTATACTGCATTAGAAACATAATGTCCAAAATCAAGATTAAAATATGCATCTTATGGGGTTTGTCTTCCAAGTTTGAGTACAATTTTTCTACTACCTACTGTTAATTAATAGAAGCCCAAATAATCCAGATAATTAGAAGTCAGGTGACACAGATTATATAGATTTATACAGGTGCTATATTCCATAAAATACTTTGTTCTCATCTTCATTATCCATGTGACAATGTTAGAAAATGCATGAAAGCTTTTTTTTTAAAACTATGTACTGGGATAAGTAGCAAAATAAAATTGAAAATGTATTTATTCCTGTGAAATTAGTGTCTTTGAGGTAAAATGGGAAATTTTGAGCTGGTTTTCATATGTTGTTATTGCAAAGAGTTTCATTTTCTATTTCTAGTCATCTATTGCCTATCACAGTCCTATTAGCTTGCAAATGAGTATGCTGTCTTCAGTCATAAATTTAAAGGAATATTGGATAGAGGTTGTAGAAAACAAAAGAAGTGAAAATGTAAAGTAAATCTGATGGCAATATTCATTGAAACAACATGAGAAAATATAATAGTTGTTTTATTGCAAGGTTTTATTCTGACAAGAGCTTTTACTTTGTCTGATATTGTGAAATTCACGATAAACTTTTCTATAATAATAAACCTTGTGTGGAAGTCCGGGTTCTCTTTTATTTGTCCCCAGAATGACTTTCTACTTGGGACACTGATTGTATGAACTGTACCAATGAGCTGCTTTGCTTTCCTGATTCTAATTTTAGTCGTTTAATGAGAGAAACCAGTAGGATACTAGGAACAAGGAAGGGAGAAACAATACTTGGATATGGGTAATTATTTTCCTTGTTCTTTCACATAGGCTATGTATGGCTTGAGTTTCTTACGTCTAATAAAAGCTATAGGTCACGTCAAATGATCCTTTTCATACAACTACCTCATTTGCCTAGCTCTTTTAAGAGCTCCTTGTTCTTATTATGGGAGCATGACATTATCCTTTATAAGGTCTTCTTAATCCCTCCCTATGAGGATTGTAGCTCTCTGAGTAAACTCTTCGAAGTACCCAATTTGAATGCATAATTTGTTCTTTCCTGGAGTCTTTCTTATACTGCAAATGAGATTAATGTACAATTCCTTACAAAAGGACATTTTCAAATATTTTGTTTATAAATTTGAGGTAATGCATACATAAATTCTATAAAGCATTTCAATACATAATTAATGAGTACATTATTTATCCCATCCTTTTGACAATATACAAAGAAATCAATTAATTGTATTGCAAAAATAACATGAAGCTCATTTTAACACACACTGTTCAGTATATTTTCTTTATGTAAGTGTATTCCTGAAACTTTATTTCTTCGTGTGAATGTAAATATGAAATATCTATTTTAATTTTATCTTGTCCTTCAGTGTTTATTTATACTAATGAACCCTTAAATGAAACTGACAGTAGAGCAATCTTGTGGTAACATGTAAATAACCTGTATTCATAATATTTAACTTTAGGGAGATAAATTTAAAAAGAATATAATATTCAAGAAAAAGTGAAACACAGAAATGAATTGAAATTTATAAATACCTTTCACATCTTGAAAAGTGTGCTTTTCAGTTTTCTTTAATGGCTAAACCATCTGGCAAATTGGTAAGAATTTTTGTAGTTGAGGAAAGAATGGATTTTAAATCCAATAATTCAATTTCTAATTCAAACACAACATATAAATACATAACATGCACACTGTAACTAAACATAATTTCAAATTATAATTAAGTTCAAAGAAAAAGGAAGAACAGAAGCAAGTAAACAAAACTAAAAATAACATGAAACCTCTGCGTGCCAGCTCCATGGAATGTGGAAGAGGTCAACTATCAGACTCTAAAATCAAACCAGACAAACCACGGAAAATGAAACATCTTTTAACATGGGCATTTAGGCATTCTATGGGTAGAATTTATAAGGTATAAGCACAATTATGATGAACAGACAGCATGCCTCTGAATATAACACAGTAGAGAGAGGTAACAGAAAAACTTATTCCTTGGAGTGGGTCAAATGGATAGATGATAGTTCCTTTCCCCCTGCAACTTTGCCACCTTTTGTTATTGTTTGATTTCTCAATTATAGTCATTTTTTCTTGAGCAAATAGGATCTGAATTTTGTTTTAATTTACACTTCTTACCTGACAAATGATATTGAACTTTTAAAAATTTATTTGTTGGCCATTTGTACGTCTTCTGAAGAGTATCTATATATTTGAAGTGACATTTTTTTAATTTTATCTTACATTTTTGGGAGAGGAGGGTTGAATTTTTTCAGTTCTTTATATAATATATTCTAGATATTAGTCCTCTGAAGTGTAGCTGGCCAACATTTTTTTTCTATTCAGTAGATTCACTCTGCACTCTATTTTTTCCTTTGCTTTATTTGTAAACAATCCTATCTTGATTCTTGATAAAATAGTCGTCACAGTTAAGTTTTGCTTTAAAAAGGTTTAGCTATGTGCTTATTTTCAAAAGTTCCACATTTTTATCTTCCAATATCTGTGATCTATTTTGGTCTTATCTTAGTACATGCTGAGAGACATGAGTCTACTAGTTCCAGGCTTCAGGATGTGTGTGATTATTTCTCCCAGCATTATTTGTTAATGAACTTGTCTTTTCCTTGGCATGCATCTTTTTGTCCCTTTGTTGAAGATCAGATGAATCAATAAGCCTTGTATTGCTTCTGCATCTCCTGAAAATGGTAACCAGTGTAACTACTATTGAAATAAAGAGAAATTTCTGAAAAAAAAAAAACCTCTAGAAATAGGAGCCAGTTATTCCCTTTCTAAGTATTGTCCCAATGTGTTAAAGACAAAATATTGTAGTAATACATGCACACCAATATTTATAGCAACATGACTCACAAGAACTAAATTTTGGAAGCAGCTAATATGTTCATTGATGAATGAATGGAGAAACAAATGTGGTATATATGCACTTTAGAGTACTATTCATCCATAAAGAATGATAAATTTGAGTTATTTGTAGGAAAAAGAATGTGCTTCGAGATTGTAATATTAATTGAGGTAAATCAGACACACAAGCATAAATATGTCATGCTATCTCTTATATAAGAATCTCAAAGTATGAATAAAGAGCAAAATCAAAGATAGAGTAGTAGACCCTCTTCAAATGAGAGGAGATGCATTGATTAGAAAATAAACTACAGGCGACTTTAGCACAATATATACAGCAAATAAGACAGACATGATCTAAATATTTCAGCATATTAGTAGACTATAGATACACACACATACACAAGCACACACATGCAAACACACACACACATGCAAAAACAAAACTCATAACTAGATCATATAAAATGTGAGTTTTGGACAGCTGGGCCCCAGATATAAGGGCCTACAGGCTTTTGGCAGACAGAGTAATAAGCAAGACAGCAATGTGAAAGTTTCTGAACCAGCAGCTAGGAGCCAGTAGCTGGGCTCTGGAGCACTCCACCAACAGAAAACAACTCCCAGGCCCCACATGCAGAAGCCAAGATCAGCTCCATACCCAGCAAGTTTCTGAGATCTAACATGGACGCTATCACAGACCTGTGAACACCAGAGGCATTTTAATATTTTTATTTTCCCTAGTTTTTCTGGTTGGCTATCCCTTTCCTGCCTGGTTGAATGGCCTCTTGTTTTTTTTTTTTTTTTTCCATTGTTTGTGGTTATTTTTGTTTTAGAGATTTTTTACCCTCTCTTTTCACAGTCTCCATTTCTTTTCTTTCTTTTCCTTCCTTCTTCTTTTATTCTCCTTACTTTTCCTCCTGTTTTCCCCTCCTTCCCCTTTAGATTTGTTACATTACCTTTTAAATTTTCTTCTATTAGTCTTCTTTCTCTCTTTCCTCAACTACTTCTTGAAATGAAACTTTCAAGTGAGTAAACACTGTCTCTTCCTTTTCTGATTACTCGCTCTGTGTCCTCAGTTTTCCAAAAGTCAGGTGACCGTGCTTTGCATTCCAGTCCTGATTCTACTGTCTTTGACTACATCACTTTACTCATCTTAACCTCCTCATCCCCTGCAGAAAGAGTAAATCACTCTCCTAAGGGGAAGATCATTGAGTACAAATACATAGTATATGTTTGATTTTGTTATATAACTTTGGAGTTTGCTCCTGTGGTTGGATGTAGCAAGTTAATAGTTACCATAGTTTGTCAATAGCTAAGCTGTACTTGAAACATAGTTATTACTAAATGCAATGTTTTAGCCAGGATGTCATATGTGTTACACCAGTTTTTCTCCCTTGTCTGATAACACTGTAATTGTATGAAGTCATAGTCATCATCACAGCCCAGTATCAAAGGATTGGATGCAGAACCAAATAGTAACTTTGTATCCCTTTGCAATTTCAAAAGATCAGATTTTGGAATATCTATAAAGAATCACCTACATCCAGAGGACATTCCTAAGGAGTAGACATCTTCTAAGAGAGCCTTTAAAATAATGATAAAATTATCTACCATAGAAAACTGGCAAACATCAAAATATAAAACAAAACAAAATAAAAAAGAGAAAATAGAAAATGATAATATGCAGAACAAGAATGCAATCCTAATCCCCCAGCATATTCAGGAAAAGCCCAAACTCAATGAGATAGATAAAATTGGAAATTAAATATTGAAACTTTCTGAAATGATACCAAAAGAAGTTTTAAAAAAAAGTGGAAATGTTATTGAGAAAATAATCCCTCAGGTACAAAGAGAAAATATGCTTAAAATAAAAAATATTAGAGAATACAAAAATAATAGAATAGTTGAACTTACAAAAATAGTGGAAACAAAAAATGCCCCACATAGGAAAGAAATGTGATCCATGAAACAAATCCAAACAGAAATCAAAGAAATTAAAACCTGGACTGAAAATATATGCAACAGACTGAATGAAAGAGATGATAGAATTTCAAATCTTGAAGACAGAATTACAACTAGTGATCAGGAAAAGAAAGATACATTAAAGATAGCAAGAGACCATGAAAGATCAATCCAACAGTTACAAGATGAAGCAAAGGAGGATAACAAAGAATAATTGGGGTCAATCGGAAAGCTGGATGCAGTGCAAAGGCTATAAAATGCCTATTCACAGGAATCATGGCAGAAAACTTCACAAGCATGGATAAAGAATTTGACACACAAATAAATGAAGCATATGACACTTCAAAGAGCCAATGATCAAAATGAAACTTCACCAAGACATATAGTAATCAAGATTCCAGAATTCATCATAGGAACAGAATATTAAAAACTGTAGGAGAAAAGAAGCAGATCACCTATGAAGGAAATCTCATTAGAATCAAGGCAGATGTCTTATCATAAATTCTACAGTCAAGAAGAGCTTGGTGTAAAGTATTTGAAGTCTTAAAAGAAAACAGTTTACCACCAACATTGATGTATCCAGCAAAACTATCTTTCACACTTAATGGAGAAATAAGATAGTTCCATGACAAACTGAAAAAATTCATGATCAGCAAACTAAACCTAAAAGAGTACTGAGAGATTTTCTAGCCAAATATAAAATATCCAACAATTAAAAGAAAAACAGCAGAAATAAATCAACAGCTACAGCAAACAATTAAACAGAGATGAAAATCAGAGACTAAACATCAGAGAAATATCATGACAAACATAAGCCAAACATATCTTTTAACTATCAATGTTAATGACTTCAATTTATCAATCAAAAGCAACAACTGGATTCTTGATCCGGAATGGATCAAGAAACAGGTTCCAACAATATGCTATTTACAAGAAACACACTGTATTCAAAAGGAAATTCATAGATTAAAAGGCAAAGTATGAAAAACAATTTTCCATGCAACAAAGAGTCTGAAAAAGAAGGGGTAGCTATTCTGCTTGAAGACAATGTGAACTTCAATCCAAGAATGATCAAAGAGATAAGGGAGATTACCACATATATGTTAGAGGAAAATTTTAAGAGGAAGAGATCACTATCATAAATCTGTATGCACTAATATGGGTGCAGCCAATTATATAAGACAGTTATTAACAGACATGAAAAATCAAACAAGCAATAAGACAATTGTAATGGGACTTTAATACCCCATGGTCATGAAGAGATAAGCTAATTAGACAAAAGCCAGCACAGAAATATCGAGACTGAACCATACCTGTGCAAAAATGGACTTAGTAAATGTGTTTAGTGTTCCACCCAATATCATCAGAATAGATATTCTTCTCAGATGCACATGGGACATTGTCTAAAACAGACCATGTACTAGCCCACAGACCATGCTTAAGTAATTTCAAAGGATAATGAAAATTAATTTCAAAGGCATTGAAATTGTCCCATGCATATTATCTGACTATAATGCAATGAAGTTGGAAATTAATAGCAAAAGAAACTGCAAAATCTCCATAAAAACATGGAAATTAAACAATGCTTTTCTAAACAAACAATAATAGGTCACAGATGAAAATAAGAAAGAAATTAAATAATATCTATGACTAACTTTGAATGCAGATACAATATACTGCAGCTTATGGGACACAGTGAAAGCAATCCTAAGAGTAAGATTTATAGTGGTGAATTCTGACATCAGGAAAACAGAATGAGCACAAATGAACAAACTAATCTTTCACCTCAAGCTTCTAGAAAAAGAAGAGCAAGACAAGCCCAAAACTCATACAAGGATGGAAATTATAAAGATCAGAGCAGAAATTAATGCAATGGAGACTAAGAAAACAATAAAAAAGAACGAATCTAAGAGCTTATTCATTGAAAAAATAAATAAAATTGATAAATCCTTAGTTAACCTTATTTTAAAAATGAAGGAAAAGACTTAACTTCATACATTAAAGAATGAAAAGGGTAAAATCATTAATGATCCTTATGAAAATTCACAATATTATCAATACCTACTTCAAAAATTTCAACTCTTACAGGATGAAAAGCACAGAAGAAATGGACAAATTCTTAGGTTCATATGCATTATCAAAGCTGAATCAAGAAGATATAAAAATTTTGACTAACCCAACATCAGTTCTTACCCAGAAATCTCAGGTTCTGATGGATTCATTTCTGAACGCTACAAGAAATTTAGAGATTTAATACCAATATTTCTCAAACTCTTTCATCAAATCAAAAGGAAGCAATATTCCTTAACTCATTCGTGGTGGCAAGTTATATCCTAATATGTAAACCAGAGAAATACCCAACCAAAATGAACAACTATAGGCCAGTCTCCTTAATGAAAATAGATATAAAAATCCTCATTAGGGTACCAGCAAACAGAATGTAGCAAATCATCAAGAAGATTATACACCATTAGCAAGTAGGATTCATCCTGGGAAGGTTCCACATAAAAATCAATAAAAGTAGTATACTATATAAATAGAACCAAAGACAAAAATCACATTATAATCTCTACTTATGCAGAAAATCTTTTGACAAACTTCAACATTCACTCATGATTTAAAAAAAACTTACAGAAAATCAGAATAGATGATCTTTACTTCAATCTGATAAAACCCATGTATGACAAACCAACAGCCAACCTCATACCAAATGGACAAAAACTGAAAGCTTTCACTCTAAAATCATAAAAAAGACAAAGATGTCCACTGTCACCACTCCTGCTCAATATAGTTCTGGAAACATTAGCCAGATAAATCAGAAAAGAGAGAGAAATAAAAGGAGTAAGATAAAAAAGAGAAATTAAAATTGTTGTTATTTAAAAATGATGTGTTACTCTATACAGACGACCCCAAAACCTCCACCAAAAGGTTTCTAGATTTAATAACCAAATTCAATAGCATATTGGGGAAAAAGTCAACACTCAAACATTAAAAGCATTTCTATAAAAAACAACAAACTCACTGAGAGAGAAACTGGAGAAACACACCCTTCACAATAGCATCCAAAAAATGAATTATTTAGGAATAAAGCTAGCAAAGGAAGTAAAAGCCCTATACACTGAAAATTGCAGGCACAGATCTTGCTACTCCCTGCTGGGCTTGGTGGACTCTGGAGTTCTGGGCCTGCCAGCACCATTGGTTCCAGAGGCTGGGCAAGCTGGGGTGAGTGTCCCCGCACCATCCCCCGAACCCAGCTAGTTTGGCATCCTTAGCTTGCCCCTAAAAGGGAACTTCATGGCTTCCTGTTGCACCGGAATTGTTTGGGAGTTCTTGAGCAGTGCTTGCTCCACCCCCAGTGACCCTCTTTCAATTGGAGGAAATGGGTGGCCAGGGTGCCAGAAGCTGAGGGCGTAGAAGAGGACTTCCAATAGGCCTTGGGGAAACCTTGGAATAACACTTAAAACAGAAATATAGGAAAATGATAAAATGAAAGACCAAATTACAATCTCAAACCTCCAGCTCATCCCAAGAAACCTTAGGAGCTATGTACATACAAGAAAATATATGCCATACACCTGAAATATCAGGCATAATAGCAATGGAAATAAAGAAGCAACTCCAAGAAATTTACATAATTTCAAACTAGAAATAATCTCCCAGGTAAAAGAGGAAATGATAAATGAAGAGATGCTGAACATATCTAAAGAAGACACAGTTGAAAAATTGGAGGAATTAAACAAAAGGTACAATCCCTGGATGAACAATATAAGAAACAAACAATATATAAAGCAGATGCAAAGAGATATACAGGGAATCAAAAATTCCATTGAAAGCTGTAAAAACCGCCTCAATGAAAGTGAAGATAGATTTTCAGACTTCAAAGACAAGATTGCAGCTAGTGAACAGGAAAGGAAAGATCTTTTAAAAATAACAAGAAATCAGGAAATAACAATTCCAAGCTGCAAGATGATGCAAAGAAAAACAACATAAGATTCATAGGGATAAATGAAAAAGAAGCAGACAACATAAAGAATGTCAAGAGGATATTTAGAGAAGTAATAGCTGAAAATTTCTCAAACATGAGATTGGAAACTGATATCAGGATCAGTGAAGCATATAGAACTCCAAATAGCCATAGCCAAAATAAAACTACATCCAGACATATAATAATCACCATCCCAGAAATCCAACAAAAGAATAGAATATTAAAAGC